ATCTCCTGTTTGCAACCAAGCTATTCAGGATGCTCAAGTTTATCCTCTAGAGTAAACTATGCAGTCTGCTAATTTTCTTAATGTTCTTCTGTTATTTCGTCTGTTCAGTCGAATAAACTGCTCTTTGATTTTTGATGGATAGCCGAAGGGAAACAATGCAGTCATCGAATAAAAGCAATGTGTATATCAATTTATTCCATGATGGGAGAGAATAGTGGGGTACTTTTCCACTGATTCGTTGGCTTGTGAATTGTATGCACAGTATGATGTTCTGATATGGTCGTACCATAGTAAGCAGGAGGTATGACAGTAGATCATCTCGACCACCTCATCACTTACTCTTCATGTACATAATCAAGACAAGGTATGAACCTAAAAATCACAGGGCTATATTGCTGTATGTACGTTTTTAGTAATTTCGTTGCATTTTAAAGGTACTGGGTTCAAACCCAAGGCATCGCGGCGTCCCAAACCTTATACTTTTTCTTATTGACAGCTGATTTCCCTGAGCAAGGATTTCATCCCACTGTGCTTCGGTATAGCTAGCCAAAAGCCGCTGGCTGGGCTTTGACCTGTCAATAATTGGGGGATGAACTTTGCATAATATCAATCTTAAGTACCATTTCTAATAGCCAGACATCACAGTTCAAAGTTACTCTGCTGTCTGAGCTTTGCTAACCTCGGATGATGACAAAACAGCATCAAAGCAAAAATGGGGTCAGATTGACGTTTTGGAGTTGTCATGCCAAAATATGCGAAACACAACCATGCTGCCAGTTACGCTCATCTTCTGGCTGCAGTTCGTTTGACCAAGCTGATAACCGACTAGAAGTCAGCATGGGCTTAAGTTTGAAAAAAAAACATAGAATTATTAGAATAAATCTAAAAGAAATAGAGATTCAGTATCGCGGCTGCATAATTTTGAGCGTTGTTTCTCATGTTTGATTATTTTTGAACACTATGAGTATGACTATTGTCAATCAGCATTGTCAATTTTAGGCACACCTTTGAAGCAGCACCGGTGTTTTGCCTATGTGAGAAAGAGGTAGTTCGGAAACTTCTGGAAGTTTGCGGCTTTCACGAAGGCGATGGCATTTTGTGCCCCGGTAAGTAGCTGAGACCAAACGCTCACGAAAGTTGTTGAGTTATACGAATGGCAATGCACGTGCATTTATGAATGACGCCAAAATGGCGGCTTGATGTTGCAAACGGGTAATACTCCATCTTTGGCTCAAAATAGAAAGAGTTTGCGACAGGTCCCACTTCACTTTGTCTCAATGCGCACGACTTTCGACATGAAGTAAAACACTCCTTTATATTATTCAGACTTTTTGGTTTCCGGTACATAGCTAGTTTTGCTGGAAGCCGAAACGTCGGAATAAAATAAAGGAATATCTTATGCCACGCACAAAGCCATCTGTATTGAGAAAAATGAGGAGCTTTATAACCTTGCCTTTCATTAAAAAATGACATACCTTAAAAAGGCCACCTCCTTTTTTCAGCATTTCATTGTGAAAATGATCATTTCATGTTTAAGACTGGAATTCCTGATTTCCTACTTTTTTATCAATCCATTAACTGCCACCTGTCATATGAGGTAATTCGTAGCAATCGGTTCAGGTTTCTGTCAAAATGGACAGAAAGTCGGGACTTTCTATTTTAGATGCTCTTTTTTCTTATGAATCGGATTTGCATTTTTTTCTCTGCTAGCATTATTGAACCATAAACATTATTGTTTGTACTGTAGCAAACTACACTTTTAATATCGTAGCCAGGTTTTTCGGTTCAAGACCACAAATTGAAATAAAAAGCGAAATGACCAATTGGGTGCAGCTTCAAGAAGGGATTCAAGACCAGTCACTGGGAACAACTCATATGATAAAAATACATGAAAATATCACTCTGCAATTAGAAAATACAGTTAACAATCAGGTTCTAAATCCGATATCAAAAGAGAAAGTGTTAGGTTCAAAATTAGAATACAGTTACGGTTGGTACTATGATACAATAAGAATTACATTGTAGGAAGGTATGTCCGGCATGCGTGTGAACGTATCTAAAATAAAATCCCAGTGCTTTCTCGTTCTCCTGTTTGTTGCGCTCTGCAGATGAGCGCAGAAACACAGGAGCAGGTGCAGAAATTCAAGTACCTCGGAATCGTATTTACTAGTGATAGAAAATTTGAGGAAGAGATCGACCGGCGGACTGGAGTAGCCATTCTGTAACCATTCTGAACAGTTGTGACTGTGGCAGAGCTGAGCCTGAAGACTAAGCTCTCGGTGCTCAAGTCGATTTTTGTCCCCATGCCTTTCTACGGTCATGAGTGATGGACCAATACTGAAAAACTTTGACCGTGGTACAAACGGCTGAGACGAGTCGCTGGACTTATGCCTCTCAACCCGATCCCAAATACAGATATCCGCGAGAACCTTGGTCTATAGACGCTGCTTATTCAGATTGAAAATCCACAGCTGTGACGCCTTGTGCATGTTTTGCAAATGCTTCTAAAAGGGAAGGAGAAACACTCTCCTCGGTATTAGTGCGTTTTGACTGCACTCAATACGTGCGGGTGAAAGACTAATTAATGAAAACGAACCATCACCCGATCCGCTGTTTAGATATGGTATACGGCATGAAACTTTTTATCACGTAGTTTCCTGTCACCTCTTGTGCAGTCCGTCTCTTTTGTTGCAGCCTACAGTACCGTTTTAGCAAGTCACTGTTCCATGGTATTTCAACACCTTTTACGGTGACATACGTTATGAGAATAAGTGCCAACAGTGTAATGTCCCCATAACTTTTGCTCCTTGTGTGTGACAGACCATGTAAACAGCTCGTTGCGCTTAATTGTTTGCGCGTCTTTAGAGCTATAGGCATCTCGTATTATTCTGTTAGGCAGAACAATGCGAATCCTTGCGCTGATCGTTTTAATATGTTGCGAAACACGTTTGTTTACTGCAGGCACTAAAATATTAAAGAATTGTGGCCTACATAAATACTCAGTAGGTATATTTCTGTGATCATCATCTCGTGCATAGAAACGTTTGGTTTTCGAAGTTTGTTGTATTCACAATTTACCATTTTACAGTTTTTTGTACGTCACTTATTTTGCCCCGTTTAAAAAACAGTTCGTCTCAATACAAATCTGCCTTTACCTTGCTTCTTCATATTGCGTGCTATGCTGCTATCTGACTGTTGATTATAGACATCGAGGACCGATTAGAAAATGTACAAAATTTAGTTTTGGAGGTGATACGCATTTGTATACCATTGCAGATTAGCATATTTTCCGTCATTGTTTAGCTTGCTAATTATACAATTAAATCGAATAAAACGATTCACCAAATAAATAAGTACTGATGACTACATAGGCAGTACTCTTGCTGACGATTCATCGTTTAGGTGGAAGCCTAGCAAACATGTACGGTTTAAACTTAGCCAGGTTCCACTACGACTCAAAATTAAAAAGCAGCGGGATGTTCGGTTGTCGCCGTTTGGTGATTTTCGCTTCAGAGCAGGTACGTGAATACGAAATGGTCGCGCGGATTCGGGGAGGGTGAGGACGGATGTAAACATAAATCAGTTTTATAGGCGCACTACTCGATCAAATGTGCCGCAGGGTTTATGGGATTTGGATCAGAGTCGATCGACATTGTTCCCTGCGCCGAAGACGGATCGATGATTGCAGAAGAATTGGAGAAACACATCACTTCGATTATCAATTCCGAAAATGTAATTTTCCTTTTTTTCAGGGGAAATTGAATGTTCTAAAAAAGTTTTTTCTCCGATTTCTGAATAGTTTAGTTTTTCGTTTGATTGTTATTCTATTTGTCTTTCACCCTAGGTTTTAAAACAGCTTGATTTCAGATAATCACGTGGAACAGAATTTCAATTCAAATATTATTTCTGATGCCGGATTTACGTGGCTAATCATACCGCCCCTTGCTTTTAGTTCCCATCGGAGTGGCGCATTTAAGAAGGCCACAACTTTATGGTTGTTAAGTGCTTTAGTGCCTGCAGTGCATCTGATGCGAGACGGCATTCTGAGTCGAGTGGTTGAACAAAGCCGTGTTACACTACAAGATTTGCTGCTATCCATCAGCTACCATTTAGCTTTGGCCTATTTAAATGGCTTTTCCCTAAGCGACTAGAAACAAAAAGGCGGTGCGTTTTCATCGTGTAATTCCGGTATCAGTAAGTGAAATGTGGTCTTTACCAGCGGAAACTCCGGTAGCTATCCTACAACACCGGGGTTATTTATTTTTCTTTATCGTGTCTGAAAGTAAATTTATGTGTAAAAAGTCGTCTTTCCTACGTTGATAAAAAATAATTTGCTTTAATATATTTTGTGAAAAGTTATTTATGTAAAAAGTTTAATTTTAGCAGTACTACTAAACGTGATAGTCTATGCAAAAAACGAGACGAGTCGAATATTCGAATGTCATACGTAATGTCGGAGCAGAGAAAGTTAATTGTACATGTATTACTTAAGCGTAGCTAAGTAATAACTCGCTTTTACATCTGACCCATTCGTAAACACTTCGTGTTAATCTTTTATGCTGCAAATCCTGCAGATAACAAAAGGTATTGTCGAGTGTTTGTCTTTCTGTGGTTATAAATTGGTAAAAAATAATTTTGTTCAGTTTCATGCACCTGAAAATGCAATGCACCCGGTCATATACTACTGTTGTTTTACCGTAATCTTCAAAGTCTAACAGAGCTTCAGCAGTTGAGTCACCCAGATTCTTGACGTCTAACATTTAAAAATGCAATCTCAGACGGATATAAGGCAATCCTAAGTTCTGCGTCTATGGTCATACATCGAGTCGATGTCTGCATTTATTCATTTGCCAAGAAACTGTTCATTTTCACACGATCGATTTCGTGCTCAGGCACCTTAAATTCGCCTGTTGAGCAAGTAAAAGTAGTGATCAGCCCGTACATCTGTTATACAGGCTAAGTATGCTTTCTGGCATGAAACCGGGTTAGTTATCTATGCAAGCGCGAGACGTATGAAACATATGTTGAGGGAGTATTGAGTTGCTTTATATGTGTGATCGTTTGGCATGGCCAGCGTGAAGCTTTTTTTGGCATCATTACAGAGCTCGCCCCGAATTCGTCTTTCTTTAAGTTCGTAATGATGGTACCACTTTTTGGTCCGATTTCTTTTTGCAAATGACGAGTCGTCAAATTCTGAATATCTCGTGTGAGAATTATTTCACGTTCGTGTCACCGCAGGATAAGGATCTGACGGTCATTTCCGTCATTCCTGTTCGCTCTGCGTAACTAGAGAAATACCCGTAACTTCCTAAATGTTTGCGAAATCAATTAAAGTGAAGTCTAATTGATCGATCCCAAGGTGTTTATGATATGTATTTACAATATCCTTTTACTGCATATTTAGATTTAAGATTTCATTTTGAATTTAGTTTTTCCTTTCAGAATTTTATTATCAGCCTATCAAACTTATAGTATAGCGTTAATTTGATTTCATTTAATAATCATATCTTGTCAGTTTTACAAATAAAACAAGCTTATTTGAAAACACCTGTGTTAAATCAAGATCAAGAATCAGCCACGTTAATTTTAGGACAACGTAGTCTTTGAGTCGCTTTCTAAAGACAGATCTGCAAATTGTTTTGTTAATTAATTAACATTTTGATCATCTGTGCTATCAGTTCCATTGCTTATTTCATTTATTGTTTACCATGCACAGTTAATGATTGTAAATGCTTATTTATAGGCCCAACCTCTGTGTGTTTGGTGCACCTCCGGTACGACCGTGTTGAACGCATTTGACCCGATCGACAAAATTTATCCGATATGCCAACGCTACAAAATTTGGCTTCATGTTGATGTAAGAGGCAAGATATTTTCGAAAAGAGTTGTGTATCGACTAGTTTTAGGCATGCCTGGGTGGCGCAGTTCTTCTCTCATCTAAGCACAAGTACTTAATGGCAGGAGTCGAAAAGTACGTTGTTTCCGGATTGCGAAGATCTTGTGTATAATAGCTACATGTTGACAGTTGAAATGCTAATCAGCACATGCTTTTCTCCATCGTATTGGAGACTTATCCGCATGTACTCGCTGGACGGGAAATTCAGCAGAAGAAGTAACGCGATATACTCCAGCTTTAGTTGTAATAAAACAACATTACTCGACAACAGGTTGCGAGCAAAGAAGAAACGTTCAATTCTACCGTCCTACGCGCTAAGGTCTCTGGCTGTTTATATACTGTTAAAGTCAAGCAAGCTGATGGTCATGCGAAGAGAGATAGGTAAAAAAATACGTAAGGTGTTTCTCCGGCATCACATTCTAAGCACACAAATCCGACAACGACTCGACCGACAGACGTCATTTCGCATGATTCTAGCCTTCTGTGACGTTAAAAGAGGTTCGTCTGGCTAGGTTACTCGCTTAAAAGAGAAACGGTGGCAGTCGTGAATTACAAACTGGAATCCGCTTGGCCACAATCGTCCAGTCGGTCGCCCAAAAGCATAATTAGATGATGAAGTGGATAAATGATTTGGTTGGTGGTGGACGCAGAAAGCAGTGAATATAAAATGACAATGCTGGAGGAGCGTCCACCTATGTTCGTAGTGCGCCCATACATTAAACAAGTCAAACCGCGGATTACGGACGGAAGACTTATAAGTGTGCTGTTTTCAGATTCTGGTCGACATGTGAAGCGTGGTTGATCAGCAAAGAATTGCATAGCAGGAGGAAGCGTTGCAGAGGCTTAAGAGAAATTCTGGGCCTGTAAAACTATTGCCTTACAAGCAGTGGTAATCAGGGTACAGATGGCCATGCATATTCTTTTAACAGCAGCAGTCTCAAACAGCCTGTCTAATATTATACCTCGGAAACAGTTGATTTTGTTTCATTCCATCTGCGAATGTTGTTAGCTAGCTTATGATAAATTTCATCATACAAGGATGTAGTTATGTTCGCGTCTTCATTTTAGAATTAATCAGTGGTGACGCCCGAGGGTTTTAAGGATAAAGAAAATTATGAGTCCATTTGTGTATCTGCTGACAGAATAATTTAGTGTTGAATAAGTAAAAAATGCACCACAATATTCTGCGACAGCCAACAGCAGTTGCAACTTTCCGATTCTGTTATTCAGTATAATCCTTTAAATAATGATTCCGGATTTCAAGGTAAAAACTGTAAGGTGAAGTTACTTACTTTTCTCTGATTCCGCAGTGGTGTAAGACTGATGGTAGTCATTACTTAAGAAACTTGCTGTTTTGGTGGCTGTTCAGAGGTTAAAGGTATTCTTTTCCCTTATTTTCTGCATATTTTGCCAGCGGATAATGACAGATTTGTTTGAAACAAACTCCCGTTCAGCCCAGCTGCCTTACGCGGCTATACATCCTGTGCTTTACAGGCGCGGAGACATGGAGTTGTGGCGTATTTCCATTGTCTTAGGCGACTAGAAACAAGGGTGTGTGCATAATTGCGGTATATCCCGGTGTAATGAATACCATCCCTTTCTCATTATTACTGTATCACGCTAAAGATAGTTGCGTTTCAGTTTTCGCCATGATAATCCGGTATCAGTAATTGAAAGAATTTTGTTAAAGCATCAGTTCAAGTTGTTCAACATTACTTAACTTAAATATGTTCATGCTATTTTTATTTTCTTCAGTGCTGATTCTTTGGTATGGAACTGGCACAAACTTTTGGGCAGTCCGCTGCAGACCTCAGTGTTCTTGTGTAAGCACAAGGTCAGTTAATCAGTCATGTTTGGCGGTAGTTCACGCGTTTACTCTTATTTTGCTGTAAAGGGTTTGCTAAAAAAGTGTCACAGCGAACATGCCTCCTACCTGTTTCCTGACGAGAAGCATTATGACACCAGTTTTGACATCGGAGAGGCCAGCATCCAATGCAGTCGCAAGCCGGATGCACTGAAAATATGGCTGATGTGGAAGGCGCACGGTAAAATCGGCTTACAGCATCTGATTGATCTTGCGGTGGACAACGCACAGTACGTAGAAACATCGTTGCATAGAAATAATGTGAATATTATGACTTTTTGTGCAGAAATTAGTAATACATGTAAACATGGTAAATAACTTCTCTGTTTCCCGTCCAAAACCCGGATGTGAAAAGAGGAGAGTTCGCGAACTTGACAATGTCCCAAGTAAAATTCCCCCATCTGTCCCTCATGATAATGCCGTTATCGATCCTCATATCGGGTCGGTCATCACCCGAATTACCAGAGACCGTGCAGACTGTTGCGGAACCGATGCTGACTGCGAAAAGGTAGCCCGTCAGAACTGCTCGCACTCCTACTGGTATCTGGGGGCGTTCCATCATGACAACGTCTTCCGAAAATCTATTGAAACAAGACGAAGATGCAGTCAACAACGTAACGACTACCAGTTCTCAACAGTGGAGCTAGACAATGCCTGACCTTGTAGCATGTCGGATATGGTCCTGCGGAAACGATACCGATAGTGGGATCACGGATCAGAAATGGGAACATCTGTCAGCTAAAGAGCCCAGAATAGTTGATGAGGTCACAAGGTATCGACTCTGTGTAGTTGGGCTCTCATAAACGATGTTCAAAGACTGTGGAAGATTGAACTTATGCTGTAAGACGCTATTCTTCTGAGTCATTGAAGCAACGACAGCAGCTCACGCCGATGTTGCTGTTGTAGTATAACTCAACCTGGCTGAAAGTATCATTGAATGGAAGCCTGTCAGTGGAAGGGTGGCAATCCCCCAAATGAAGCTGCAGTAGGCTAAAGCGTTAACTTTCTTACTGGTCTCTGCGCTGAATTTTGAAGGAAAATATGAACCCTTCCTTGAGGAACTGGAGTTTTCTCTGTACGAAGTGCTGATTACGGAATCGCTCATTCTAATGAACGATTTTAATGCACATGTTGGGTCAGACACTGAAACGTTTAAGGGCGTGATTGGAATGATCATTTCCGGAATGAAAATTCACAGCTGTGGTGGTTTTGGCAGGTCTTACGAAGGCCTTCGGAAATCATTGCGAAACAGGTACTTCTTGCCCAGCCGACGGACCGAAATACCCATGGACGGCCGAGAATTTTTTAGGGCAATTGCCTCGAAGAACTTTGCTTCAGACTTGTTTTATTTTCTGCCGAATGTCACATGCTGGCGCAAGATCGAGAACGTGAAGACACCGTGCTCTCTCCGCGACTCGGTAAGAGAAGCGGCCATCAAAAGTGACTGAATGAACACGGTAAATAACATGTACGCATAATTATTCCTTTTCGTTTCTTGATTTGTGGTTCAAGATACAGGTGTCCGCGCGATGTTGATTTCCTTTATTTACCAACACATTTTCACATCCCAATCGGCCTCTTCAGGGTAATTTTCCAATATTTACTTATTTTTAATTCATATGCTGCAACTCATATACTGATTCATGAGAATCATGTATTGATTATTAAACTATTTAGTTATAGTCATGTGGTACTGGATTCTGTCCATATAGATTATTCGATATTGATAGGTTAAGCAGATAATACAAAGACTGTCCGTATCATTCAGCTGTGTTTTACATGGTGTTGTGGTATGATTATTGCTCAGATGTAAACAACTTGAAAGAATTATGCTTACCATTTAATTTTTTGGGTCCTTCTAGCTTCAGGATTTCGCACGGTACTCAATCGTTTACAACGGTAGGTGCCAACAACATCCATTACAAACTGTCATAAGTCAGGCGATTCGATTCGAAGGTCGATTATCGATCGATTTCTTTTCAGAAGCTTCCCTGTCTCTGGTGTATTTATGCATGCTTCGATGCTAGAAGAACTTGTTCATAGCAGACAGCGCAGATTGTTTACGCAAAACCTCCACAGCTTCATTCCGCTATTTTTGATGTCGCTAGGGTCGTTCTTCCAAATTACGCATTTTCAGTTTTCAGTGTTATTTCCAACAGTGAATGCATTTACGGCTTGAATATTCTTGACATAGTGATACCATTCAGCAGGTCGACTGCCAGCATCACGTAATACACCGCATGGATCAGCGTCACAGCTGATATCGTAATAATCTGACATCGTAGGCCGACTCTTCTCTACCAATTTTGCCAATGGTATTGAAAAATTTCGCATTCGTAAATCTTGTGTAAAGTGCTTTATGTTCATTGATTCAAACGGCATTTGATACTGACATTTTTGTCTGCAGTGCTTCGCTTGGACGGAATATACTTGTGGTTCTTTCTTAAGATGGCAGGAGCCATCGTTTTTTATATGCATATGTTTAAAGCTTTTTCTTTGCATGGTATTCGTTTTCAGTCATTTGCATGTGGACACAAGTCAACCCACGATAGTATCAAACATCGCACTCCTGTCAGAATGTCTGTTTAGTTCTAGGTGGTCTTAACTGGTCACTGCACTTTTGTATTCAGTTTGAAAATAACCTCGTCATAGCAATATGTCCAACTTGTTAAAATTTGGCAAAACTTTTCAGATAAGTAGTTTCCCCTAATTAGTGGCTAACCTGTGAAGAAATGAGGGAAAGACCCTTGAGGTATTTTATAAAAAAATTTTCTATTCTTTGAACAAGGTGTGTACTGGAGTAATTTTGATGGTTGTAACTTAATAGTAATATGATACGTTTGTGCCTGCATATATTGTATATATATGCTCTGTATGTATCTCAGTAATATATGCTATTGATTTATATTTTAGGTACATGGCTGCAACAATGCTTAAACATAAAAACTTTATACTCGTCTTGGGCAAAGTGAGTATCAACTTTTCCATGCGGCTTGATACGTTATTATTTTTTAGGCTATCGCCACTACCGTCTGCTTTTGGGTGATTCCTCCACGACTGCTTAACTGTTCTCGTGACGAGGAGTTCTGGAAGGAAATAGACAATGTATGATCTTTATGTCCTGTTTGATTTCATATTCTTTTTAACATTCCCTTTAATATCCCCCAGAACTTTTTATTAGGTATAATTATGATTCTAAGCAAAGCGATTCCATGAAGCATTTGCATAGCTTTTCCTCTGAACAACAAAACTATCTTTAAACCTGTAGCCATGTGGGTCTACCCCATAAAGTTATTGTTATTCGACTGATGGAAGATCAGTCGTCATGATGAGATGCTGGAACAGCACTGTTGTCACAGAACGCAATGTTCAACATGCACAGAATCACAACGTCGGATCTGAAACCTCCTTCACTACTTCGATGTGGGGACTTTTGTGTGTTGCATTTTCTCCACGGGCCAGTAACGCCCCTCATTGTACAACCTCGTCAACTCACTTTATATTTGTATTTTACTACTACGGCAAATAGCTACGCATTTATCTTCATGTTCCATTTTGCGTTTAATCTTCCATGTTTGGCAGATGTTATCCATCAATTTTAAGTTATGTGTGCGGACTGTCAAGACATGAAACTTATCATCCACCAATCCAGTGTGAAGCGCTGTGACTTGTTATGACTCTGTGGTTATATATGCTGCTGTCATGACCAGACCGGAATACCATCCTGACCATATTGTTCGAAGGTTTCCGACTTACTCTCCGCTTCTCGACTGGTTGCTCCGAATCAACGTAGAGTTAATTATATGCTCAGGAAAAATTGTCGCTTTCGTGTTCGAACATTAATGGCCGGTGCATTATTATAGTCCCTTCCAGCTGTTTCAGCGCATTTGCTTTTTGCTGGGATAAAACGAATATGTTATCAACGAATCAAGCGTTAAATGGCTGTAGGAATTCTGTAAAGCATTCTTTGAGGACCTGTTGGGTTCTGGTATGTTATCAATCGGTCTAAATCATCTGTCTGTCCATACATTCATGTGTGTAGTTCGTACGTCTTTTGATCGCATTCCTAAAGAACTAAAATCCTTTAGATAAGTTGAAAGGGAGTCAGAGAAAAGTGGAAGCTCCTGAGCAAATTGCAATCATGCTTTTAGCAGTCGGGCAATTTATTTTACGTCCTGTTTTCAGGTTTCTCGCAAGGTTAAAGTGGACCTACTTAAAAGTGGAACTGCCATGATCGCCTGCCAACGTTTACCGGACAAAAATCTTCAAAGTTTCTTCCGTTTCACTTTCACGTGTCAGCCTCCGATGAATCGTCAGGAAATCGACAGTATGATTCAGGCGACACTTGCATGTGCCGAAAAATACTGATCGATTTTAGAATTTTGTTCCTCAAATATTGTTGGCAGTATTTTGCTGTCTTCATATGAATAGCGCTAATTTTATGGCCTTAGTTTGTTGGCTTTGCTTTTCGTTTTACTTATTGACCTTTTAGGCTATGCTCCCATATGTTTTATTAGCCATCAGTTTTTAAAAATTGATATTCGCTTACATTTGTCTATTTAAGGTTCACTATATTCTGCAACAGTCAGAATGAAATATGTATTCATTGGTTCTTGTTTAATGCAGTGAATCATTCAGCATTTTGCTTGATTAAATTAAATTCTAGTTCAAAACAAACTGACAACACTGTAGTTCTAATAACATCGAATTTGCTTAAGTGTGCTAATGAGCAATAGTTTCGTCCGCAACTAACAAGTAACAACCTGATCAAAATGTTAAAGCGTCACGTGTTTTGGGAGAAGGCTGTCTTCGCTGTTCTTAAATATGCAGCTAATGGACACAGGCATAGCGCTATGCATGAATGTATCGCTCCTGCGCAGCACGATTGGCAATTTGCCGCGGGTTCCATTGACGGTTCGATAAGCAAGGCGATACGCCATTGTGAGATGATATTTTATCGCCGGCGGCAATGTTTTGTAGCTTGACGGCAGTCTTTTGATTGAATCGGCGAGTTATCTTTTAACCATCTTTACGTCAAATCCACAGAAGTTGACTGGCAGTTTTTACAGGCCCCTGACATCACTTCTAACACAGGACCGTGTTGACCAATGATGGCACCATGTGGTCTTGTTAGAAGAACTGCGGCATTTCTTGCCTTTTTGCAAGATGTCTCATTCGTCTGAAAATGGAAGCACTGTTCTGAATTTTGTAGCTAGGGTTAAAATTTGTGAAACAAATGAGAAGGATCGTGCTGTTATGTTTCTTAATGCACGCGCACAAGAATTGCTTGTTAAGATTTTCCCGGCGGCAGATTGAAGTAATTAGCACGACCGCTGAGATGCCCCTCAAGGATTATTTTAAATGCTGGGCATATCAAAGACTTTACAATCCTCTGTGGAACTCTTAAGGAACATCATCCTTGCGGTATCATAGAGCATTGCAATATTTGGAACGAATTTCCTCAATTAAAATCAAGTACAAGGAGATAATAAAAATTCCAGTATTTCATTCAT